ACGCTAATATCAACACTACAGCTTATTTGCTTATCACAATTGATCTAATATGACATAATAAACAATATAAATAACATAAAAACATGGTAAATGCTCCAGAATGAATAATATTTGGCATAATACCGAGCAGTTCGATAGAGATATGAAGAGGATGTGAGATACAAGTACCATTCTCGTATCCCTGTCTTGGGGGCTTATATTAGAGAAAACAGAGTATAGCTAAAGGCTAACTGTGATATACACTCATAATGCACCATAAAACTGAAACAAAAAAGCTATTTTCTCTACACAGATTATCATACATAGCAGCATATGTGTAGAGAACCTAGGATAACCCAAAAAAGTCAGACAAAGTGACTTATTTCTAGTACCTGGCTTGGGCTTGCCATATATGATTTTTGGTAAATATTTTTTTTTTCTCAGTTGTTTGTTGGGTTATCTTATTGAAACTTGGGCAATGTATGATGGAAAGATGCTTCTTAACGTACACCAAAAATGAAAAAAATTCGGATGATAAATAACGGAGTTCACCCTTCAGCCATTGGCCGCCCCTTAGTAGTAGTTTTTGTATGGTTTTTATGGTTGTATTCTCGTTTTTTTTGGTCTCATTCGATAGAATGGAGTTTACCTGGAAGATACATTACATAAATAGATATGATTTTGATTGGTTTCATGACGAAAAGTACCTTGAAATTGAGCTCAAAGTAGCGGAAATGTCTGATTTTTGTCGATGTTCAATGAACTTTCTTGTGTAAGTCAAGTTGGTTAACTTTATTTAGTGTATTCTAACATAACCACTCTGTAATCCGGCACAGTACAGGTCCCAATGATGCCAGATTTGTGATGGTAGACCTGTACTGTAAACAGATATGGATCCGATCCAAACCACATGCAACATCTGTATGGTCACCCCACATCACGATTACACACCTTCTGTTTGGTCACTACACATCTCACCATTCCCAAGTAAGCTTATTTAGGTGCAGGTACACATCAAGCACAATTATCATACATAGTGTAACATATGTGTAAATTACCTAGGATAACCCCAAAAAAGTCAAAGTGATTTATTTCCATTGGGGTCCTTATATCTTAATATCTGAAGCCTAGCTGTAGGTTACAGTAGAAATCAGTGCTTCCCAGTGGCATAACCAAGTTCTAACATCAAGGGAAAAGAGCACTTACAAAAAGGCACTGCTTATTAACTTAAAAAGTGTCACATTATAAGTTAATGTTATCATTAAAAACACATGAAAGTAGCCTATATTCACACAGTGTAAAAGCAAAGCTGATATCATTGGAATTAAAATTTTCTATGCATTATAGCTCAGTACTTGTCACTTTCTGAGTATGTATCTTCTTAATGTTTTAAAAGAAAGAAAACAATAGGTTTCAAGCATAAATTAGCCAAATACTTCCTATCTGAAATTTTGGGCACTAGAAAAATGTACAGAAACAGAGATTTAGGTTTCAAGCATAAATTAGCCAAATACTTCCTATCTGAAATTTTGGGCACTAGAAAAATGTACAGAAACAGAGATTAACTTAGCGAAACCAGACAAATTACACATACAACCTACAGACACTGCCAACAAGCTTGATGTCTTCTTTTCTACTACAGAATTGAAACTAGAAAGCAAAATCCCAAATGGACATACTCAGCCACAAGACTGCCTCACTGGTAATTACCCACATACTCTATATCTAGCACCAACAAATACTACAGAAGTCTCACTAATAATTAAATCATTAAAAGACAAGGCAGAAGACCTAAATAACTTGCCACCAATCATGTATAAAAAAGCAGCTCATGTGCTGTCCATCATTACTGTAACACTAACAAATCTGCTGAATCTTCAACATTCTCATCTATACTCAAGACAGCAAGAGTCACCCCGATCCTAAAAGGAGGCGATCCCACAGAAATAAATAACTACAGACCAATATCTAACTTGCCTTTGGTCTCAAAAATCTTCGAAAAAACAATACATAAACAAATCTACTCCTACCTCTTATCCCATAACATGCTGAACCCCTGCCAGTTTGGGTTTAGGCTGAGAAAAAGCACAAATGATGTAATTATTCAGAGGCTCAAATTACTATACATATACATACAGCACTTGAAAAAATGAATATCCTTTGAGGCTTTTCATAGACCTATGGAAAGCATTTGATATGGAAGAGCACAATATCTTGTGCCTAAAACTAGAGCATTATGGGGTCAGAGGACACACTTTCAATTACCAGTATGCATACACAAATGGCATGACCTCCAATCTTCAGGCTGTAGTTGTTGGAGTGCCACAGGGAAGTGTCCTAGGTCCTCTACTCTTTCTTATTTACATCAACAACCTCCCAAATGCATTGCAACTCTTTAAACCAGTTCTATTCGCAGACGACACCACTTACGTCTTCTCCCACCCAAACCCGGCTATACTTAGTGACACTGTAAACAGCGAGCTACATAAAATATCAAACTGAATGACGACCAACAAGCTCACTCTCAATATATACAAAACCTACTTCATGCTTTTTGGAAACAGAGCATTAAATATCTAGCTAAACATATCAATAAATGGTTCACCCTTTACAAGACACACTGAGAGCAAATTTCTAGGTCTCCACTTTGACTGTAATCTTAAAATTTCAGACCGACATCCAGCATATAACTAAGAAAATTTCCAAAACAGTAGGCATCCTTTCCAAGATACGATACTATGTACCCCAAATGGCACTCCTTACTTTATGTCACTCTCTTAATACAGTGGACCCCCGGTTTACGATATTATTTCATTCCAGAAGTATGTTCAGGTGCCAGTACTGACCGAATTTGTTCCCATAAGGAATATTGTGAATTAGATTAGTCCATTTCAGACCCCCAAACATACACATACAAATGCACTTACATAAATACACTTACATAATTGGTCGCATTGGGAGCTGATCGTAAACCGGGGGTCCATTGTATATCCTTACCTCACCTATGGTATCTGTGCTTGGGGATCTACCACAGCCAATTACCTTAAACTTTTAATAACCCAACAAAACGCCACTATGTGGATGATTACAAACTCCCGCACCAGACAACACATCCCACCACTCTTCAAGAGCTTGAACCTACTTAATATACAAAATATACATACTTATTATTATTGTGCCTACTATATATACAAAACATTAAACTCCAATATCAACCTTCCACTGGAACTCTTTACCTGAAGCAACAAGAGGTCCCCTGCCCACAAATCAATTTAGGACTACATGTATACTTAAAAATCATCTCATCTCTCAATAACAACCATACCCACACAATGTTAATCTTTAACCAAGTTTGAAACAACTCTCCCAAATATTGCAAACTTAAAAATGTATGTCTGTATCATAAATTATACTACCTCATATAAATAATAGAGTAAAATGTTGAATATTTGTAATCTACCACACTTCACCTGTCTAGACTTAAGTAGTCTTTAACCCGTAAACGGTCCAAACGTATATATACGTTTTGTGTCCTACATTTAACACTGCCACGATAAGCCTGAGTCGCCTAGACATGTGAGAATGGGTGTGAGCACTCACTGTGCACCATATTAAAATAATTGGGGATGCCTGGGTACCATATGCTCTTTTTTCCTATTAAAAAACAACAATGTTTTTTTTCTCAAAAAAGTTAGGCAGTACGGTGGTGAACGTATATATACGTTTGGACCGTTTACGGGTTAAGTATTAGGTTAAGTCTGCCTGAAATGCCTCGGCATGATACCTGGAGTTTACCTGGAGAGAGTTTCGGGGGTCAACGCCCCCGAAGAGATAATTTTTTTATTTTGATTTGATATGGCAAACGGAAATAGGCGATTGCCTAATCAGGCAATCAACAATTTTTTGGCTAAGCAACTATCCATTTGAAATTTCCAGACTTATTTCTGGGTGCTTCAAAAGGCAAACAAAATCAGGAAGGCTAAAGCAGCTAAAGAAGCAAGGGTAATAAAGCTGCATAATGTTACTCAGGGGTAGCAACAGCTCTTCCCTGCTGATACACCCCTACCCCTCAGCTATGCATCAACTTCATACAATGCACATTTATCTGATCACTCTCCTTGTTACAGTGCACTATCTTTACATCGTATAAAACATTCAAGTCACTTTTACACATTACACTACATCTACACATAACAGCTGTCTATTCACTGCACATCATACATTATATACAATACCTCTGCTTCAAGGACCACCAATGGAAATAAGTCACTTTGTCTGACCTTGTTTTGGGGGGTTATCCCATGTAATTTACACATATGTTAAACTATGTATTGATGTTCCTCGTGTCCATCTCACACTATGCAAAAACTCAATGCACATAAAAGGCCCTAAAATCTGGAACTCATTACCTGTAAATATAAAAGAAACACTACCTGTTTATAAATTCAAGTCTCTTCTCAAAGATCACTTACTCACCCAAAACCAAATAAATACTGAATAACTGAACCTTATAAATTGTATATCTTAAATGTTTCTCACAATTATATCACATAAATGTTAAACCTAAAACCCAATCTAACTTTATTATTTTTTAAATACACTACCTAACAGAATACTCCATTCTACTGAATGTACAACAATGCATACAACCATATGACCTGTCTTTGTAATACTCACTTGTGCTTTATAGTAATCTGTTTACATTAAAGTTTTATCACTGATGTCATCATTGCTTAGTTCATCTTAAGTTAATTTTAAGCCAGCCCGTAATGCTATGCATAGTATAAGTGGCTTTGGCATGCTGCTCTTATCTGTATTTTTTTGTACCTCTGTATGTGTGCTCAAATTTTTAAATAAATAAATAAATAAATAATTGTACCTATGTGTACCTTCACTTAGATAAACTTACTAACTCCATGTCGTACCACATCATTAAATTTCACAGTGCACATAACATCTATTTGTTAACCACACATCACCTGGTCACTTCACACATCACCCTCATAGCTACTCCCACCCACCTGATTACTCTGCACGTGCCACACCTCTACTATGCGCGTTTCCTTGGACACAAGTTTGAACTTGGTGTTATCCCAGAAGATGGCACAGCCATCTGGGCCACTGTTGTTAGGTAGGTAGAGGCATGGAGAGTCTGGCTTGGGCATGAACACACCTTGGTATCCCAGTTTAGCCAACACTTGCTCCAACACTTTGTAGTGGTCTACCTCCTGAAATACAAGACATAATACTGTATAAAAAATTAAAATTGCCATGGATACTGTTAACCCTTTACTGGGTTGGGCAGGATTAGAACTCATTATAACAGTGACTAACCAGGTCATTAGCCTGGCAGAACATAAAACAAATATGCATATCTACTGATGGTGGAGTAAGGTTAAATTATATTTTTTAGGCTGGGTTATGTGGATTTCCTTAGAATATTGTTTTTTTTTTTTACCATTCACACAATGTACTATTTCAATAGTAAAACCAATACTATTGTACAATTCAAACTATGATCACTGGCCGAAATTCACCAGTCATTTACTTTTATCCTACCTTGTCACAAATATTATTTGCCTAAAATATATCAATGAAATCTATTTAGAAAATCATGAGAAAGTGAAACCAAATACGCACATCAAAGGAACCTGCTTAATTAAGGATTATCGTTATTATATTAACGGGAAAGTGGTAAACCTACAGGGAAGAAATAACACCTGGCTAATGAGGTAATCAGGTTTGACTGAAGGTTAGGTTAGGTTCCTCATTAAAACAGGACAAGTGTTTCCTAACGTTGGTCTTTGTCATGCGCTGCCCTCCACTGGAACTTTTGGTCATATGACCGAGGCCTTCCACTGGCTTACTAGTGGAAGGCGAGGGCTATTCTAATTCCTTTGATCAAGAGCCTTTCACTCATGATAGCATCTCCTCTGAAGGGACTGCTTTAGGAAAATGGAAACTTGGTTAATAAGGTTTAAAGCATACTGACCAGACAAGGGTCATTAAGGCTACGTTACCTTTTCAACACCAGTGAAGAATACTTTGATCCCTAAAGTAGGAATTAAAGTAAACTCTCAATATATATATATATATATATATATATATATATATATATATATATATATATATATATATATATATATATATATATATATATATATATATATATGTCGTACCGAATATGTAAAACTGGTCAATTCGCAAGAACTCAATTAAAATTAAGCCCTTTCTAAAATTTTCTCTTATACGTTTAAAGATATATTTTTTTCATTAATGTTAATGTAAAAATTTTTAATTTTGCACCAAAAGAATCTTAGAAAACTTACTTAACCTTAATATAACAAAAACAATTTATTTTAGCTTAACCCAACTAAATATATTTTAGATTTCTTTACAGTAATTTAATACTAAACAAACACAGTGAAATATTTTTTTTTTCGTTAGGTTCAGAATGATTTTGACGAAATTATTGCATACACAAATTTTCACTTGTCCTATATGGCAAGATGAACGTTGCTATTTAAGCCAAGATAGCAAATTCTGTTCTATCTAGGCTGGAATACTGCTGCACACTAACAGCACCTTTCAAGGCAGGTGAAATTGCTGACCTAGAAAATGTACAGAGAACCTTCACGGCGCACATAACGGAGATAAAACACCTCAATTACTGGGAGCGCTTGAGGTTCCTGAACCTGTATTCCCTGGAACGCAGGCGGGAGAGATACATGATTATATACACCTGGAAAATCCTAGAGGGACTAGTACCGAACTTGCACACGAAAATCACTCACTACAAAAGCAAAAGACTTGGCAGACGATGCAACATCCCCCCAATGAAAAGCAGGGGTGTTACTAGCACGTTAAGAGACCATACAATAAGTGTCAGGGGCCCGAGACTGTTCAACTGCCTCCCAGCATACATAAGGGGGATTACCAACAGACCCCTGGCAGTCTTTAAGCTGGCACTGGACAAGCACCTAAAGTCGGTTCCTGATCAGCCGGGCTGTGGCTCGTATGTTGGTTTGCGTGCAGCCAGCAGTAACAGCCTGGTTGATCAGGCTCTGATCCACCAGGAGGCCTGGTCACAGACCGGGCCGCGGGGGCGTTGACCCCCGGAACTCTCTCCAGGTAAACTCCAGGTATTCGGCACGACACACACACACACACACACACACACACACACACACACACACACACACACACACACACACACACACACACACACACACACACATATATATATAATATATATATATATATATATATATATATATATATATATGCAATAAGATCACAGTAAACAGGTGATATCAGAATATGCAAAACAACCACTCTGAAAGAACAGAGAAATTCCAAGTGCTTTCGTGATAATGTGAGTAGTCACGAAAGCGCTTGGAATTTCTCTATTCTTTCAGAGTGGTTGTTTTGCATATATATATATATATATATATATATATATATATATATATATTTATATATATATATATATATATATATATATATATATATATATGCACTCCGAGAAGCATACATCTCACAGTGTATATATGGTATGGACACTTGACATCCTACCTGAAGACAGACGACGTGTGGCTGGTGGGTGATGATCTCTTCAAGAATGCGGTACTTGCGAGTGTTCCACTGGAGGGCTGCTGGGGGACACTTCACAAAGTTGTCAGCATGTGTTCCCAGTGCTGTAAACACAAACAAATGCTCATATAACATTTCCATCTAATGACCCAAATTAAACAAAACCCAAAATGACAAAAGAAATGCCTTTATATTCCTCTCCAATGGGAGATCAGGCAATTTTCTATGTACCTCTGTAATCTGTAAATACCTTTGTAACTTGCTCAGCTATCAAAACTTTGGGGCCCAGTCCCTGGACCCATTATGTACCTCTGTGATCTGTGCTCCAGTTCCACGAATTAAGCCTGAATGCCTTCCACATCCCCCCCCAGGCGCTGTATAATCCTCCGGGTTTGGCGCTTCCCCTTGATTATAATAATAATAATATGTACCTATGTAATCTTTCGACGCCCTGGACCCATTATGTACCTCTGTAATCTTTTGACTACCACCCACAGGATGGGTATGGGGTGCATAATAAACATTAAACTACACATTAAGAAATGTTTAATTACAAGCACAACAGACATAAAGTGCTACATGTTATTTCTATGTTTAAACATAAAAATCAGGTTTCCAGTTTAAAGATATTACACTTCTTTATCTCGGCCTGTGCTACTAATGTTATTCCTAGCTCTTATTCTTAAACTGTTTCCATATTTTTCTGTCAGATGATCTTCAGCTTCCTTTTCCCAACTCCTCACTATATTTTTGTACTCGCCTAAATGTGGTTGCAGGGGTCGATTCATGTGTACTCACCTAATTATAATAATATATCTTTATTTACTACAAGCACATGTACAAGGTATACAGACCTAGTAGACATCAATGACATACTACTATATAGAAAGCCGCTTTTTACGCAGAGCATTTCGGGCACCTAACTGTGGTTCCAGGGGTCTATTCATAGCTCCTGGCCCCGCCTCTTCACTGGTCGCTACTAGATGTGCATGTGTGTACTCACCTAATTGTGGTTCCAGGGGTTGAATCATTGCTCCTGGCTGGATTAGCCTCTTCACTGTGTGTAGAAATTATATATATATATATATATATATATATATATATATATATATATATATATATATATATATATATATATATATATATAATGTATATATATATATATATATATATATATATATATATATATATATATTATATATATATATATATATATATATATATATATATATATATATATATATATATATATATATATATATAAAATCTTTCAAGAAACCATCCGTATCCCACTGAATCATGGTGGCTCAAAAAGAACAACGAAGATAAGATTTCGTTCGGGTTTTTAATCCCGGAGGGTTAGCCGTCACCCAGGATAACCCAAGAAAGGCAGTGCGTCATCGAGGACTGTCTTTCGTATTTCCATTAGGATCCTCAATCTTGTCCCCCCAGGATACGACCCACACCAGTCGACTAACACCCAGGTACCTATTTGCTGCTAGGTGAACAGGACAATAGGTGTTACGAAACACGTCGAAATTTTTCAACCCCGCCGGAAATCGAACCCCGGCCTCCTGTGTGTGAAGCGAGAGCTTTGGCAGCCAGGCCACGGCTCTTTTTAACTTGAGTAATGTATACAGAAGAGGTTACTAGTATTGCTCCTGGCATGCTAGTTGCCTCTTACGACACGCAAGGCTTACGAAGAGAATAACTCCGTTCCACTTCCCCATGAAGATAAGAGGAAATAAACAAGAACTAGTAAGAAAACAGAAGAAAATCCAAAGGGGTATGTGTGTGTGTGTGTGTGTGTGTGTGTGTGTGTGTGTGTGTGTGTGTGTGTGTGTGTGGGTGTGTGTGTGTGTGTGTGTGTGTGTGTGTGTGTGTGTGTGTGTGTGTGTGTGTGTGTGTGTGTGTGTGTGTGTGTGTGTGTGTGTGTGGGTGGGTGTGGGTGTGGGTGTGGGTGTGTGTGTGTGTGTGTGTGTGTGTGTGTGTGTGTGTGTGTGTGTGTGTGTGTGTGTGTGTGTGTGTGTGTGATGAAATAAGATATTTATTTGGAAAATTAATGGTTAATTGAAAAATACACGGCAATGATATGACAGATAATTGATTTAATAAGAGATATGACTACCCTTTGCTTTTATAAACATTTCTACACGCTTTGGCATAGAATCGACCAATGTTGAACACATTTTGGAAAGTAGATGAATGGTTCAGAGAACCGACACGTTGATAAATTAGACACATGTGCAACTCTTGGGTATCTTTATTGAGGAAACGTTTCGCCACACAGTGGCTTCATCAGTCCATACAAAGGAGAGTTCGTCGTGGCACGGGGTCCTAATAACAGCAGCAATTAGCTTCTCCACAGTTGAAGTCCTATTTCGTGATCAGGCGTGTTTTTTATTGCCCACAGAATCTCAACTGGGTTGAGGTTGGGAGAGTTTCTAAGCCAGTTTAAAACGCTTAGCCCACTATCTTCGAAGAACGTCAACATTTTTCTTGAAGCAAGATCCTGCTAGAAAATGCCTTCTCCCTCAGAAGTCTCTATCCACAATGGGAAGCAAATGAGTTGCCAGGATTGCCTCATATCTGTTACTGTTAATCGTTCCCTCAACAATAACAAGCCGTCCAGGTCTTTTAGCAGTAAAACTACCCCAAAACATCTTTGGCGGGTGCTTTGGTACTTGTTGAAAGTGTCCATTTCGAAGAGGTTCGCCTTTGCTCCGTCTCACTACCACTCATCTGTACTCGTGTACTTCAAAATAAGCCACATCTAAAAGTATAACTTTTCTCCATTCATCTGTCATCCATCCCTTTTGATCAAGTGCCCACCGCAGCTGTTTTTTCTTCACAGCAGCAGGTCAATAATTGTTTCTTTACCGACTTTCTGGCAATTTTGCCAACTTCAAGGAATCTTCGTTGAACAGTTGAAGAATCAACATTTACACCAGCTGAAACCAAATTTCTCTGCCGATTTTTGCTGGTTTTCTTGGGATCCTTAAGGGAGGAGCAGTGCATTCGACCTTGTAGCACAAGCTAGTCAGGTCCAACTCACACCCACCCACACCCACTTATGTATTTATCCAACCTATTTTTTAAAACTACAACGTCTTAGCGTCTATGACGGTACTCGGGAGTTTGTTCCACTCATCCATAACTCTATTACCAAACCAGTGCTTTCCTATATCCTTCCTGAATCTGAATTTTTCCAACTTAAAACCACTACTGCGATTCCTGTCTATGTTAGATATTTTTAGCACGCTATTTATATCCCCTTTATTTATTCCTGTTTTCCATTTATACACCTCAATCATATCCCCCCTGATTCTACGCCTTTCTAGAGAGTGCAGGTTCAGGGCCCTCAGTCTATCCTCATGGGGAAGATTTCTGATACATGGGATCAACTTTGTCATCCTCCTTTGTACATTTACATCCATTCCGTAATACGGTGACCAAAACTGCGCAGAATAATCTAAATGAGGCCTAACCAAAGATATGTAGAGTTGAAGAACAACCTGAGGACTCCTATTATTTATACTTCTTGCTAATTCAGGGAACCGGAGCACAGATCCGATTCCCTAGATCAAGAGTCCCTCACCAGCATCAAGGAACCTTCCTTGAGGGGAAAAGAACCCAAACTACATTAATTAAGCCAGAGACTAAAATATATATGAGATAATCACAAAATTTACTCCTATCCCAATTAATTAATGCTCAACAGTTGCAATGATAATTTACACCCAAATAAAGTACGTGTGTCTGGTAACGATTTCATATTGGTTTTCATGACGATAATACATCAACTGAGACTTCCAGGTTCCAATGGTGACGAGGGTGCGTCTGGCAGCGGCGACCTCAAGGTTACCATTGTGATATCCATGTGTCTGGCAGTGGTGGCGGTTTCCTGGTTCCCATGGTGAGAATGTGCATCTAGCAGCGGCGACATCCAAATTCCCATGGTGATGAGCGTGAGCCTGGCAGCGGCGGCTTCTGATTTCCATGGCGAGACCGTGCATCTGGTAGCGACTACATCCAAGTTCCCATGGTAACAAGCGTGCGTCTGGTAGCGGCAGCTTTTGATTTCCATGGTGAGAGCATGCATCTGGCAGGGCTACATCCATGTTTCCATGGTGACGAGCGTGCGTCTGGCAGTGACTGCTTTCTGATTCCTACGAGTATCTTCTTAAGATAAGATAAGATAAGATTTCGTTCGGATTTTTAACCCCGGAGGGTTAGCCACCCAGGATAACCCAAGAAAGTCAGTGCGTCATCGAGGACTGTCTAACTTATTTCCATTGGGGTCCTCAATCTTGTCCCCTAGGATGCGACCCACACCAGTCGACTAACACCCAGGTACCTATTCGCTGCTAGGTGAACAGGACAATAGTGTAAGGAAACATGTCGAAATGTTTCCACCCGCCGGGAATCGAACCCGGGCCCTCCGTGTGTGAAGCGGGAGCTTTAGCCACCAGAGAGATAACTAAGGTATATAGTATATATAGTGGCTGGAGTCAGGTGTTGAGAAGGGTTGAACTTGAGAAGGACCTGTCAACATGTAACAGTGGTCTCCAAAATAGGCAATGTCCTGTTGATCAACAACTGGGATATAAAGTAACTTCCGTTTATTTGGATATTGTTACTCACAGCAATTAGAACAGCCTTTATACACTTTCATCGTAAATATTACCTGACATAGAGCTGTATACCACAGCACCGTGTCCTCCTTTACTGATGATACCAGAATTTGCATAACAGTATCATTCATCGAGGACACTGCAAATCTCCAAGCGTACATTAACCAAGTCTTTAAATGGGCTTTAGAAAGCAATATGAAGTTCAATGAAGACAATTTTCAATTATTCCGCTTTGGAAAACTCGAGTGAATAAAAAAGTATCAGAGTAAAAAACAAATTCCAACTACACAATAGAGCGAAAAACTAATGTGAAGGACCTGGGAGTGGTAATGTCAAAGAATCTCACTTTCAAAGACCACAACAATGTATTTACCACATCTGCTAAGAAAAATGATAGGATAGATAAGGAGAACATTCAAAACTAAGGATGCCAAGTGAATGACAATTCTCCTCAAATTACCTCTAAGTTG